ATTTGTGTGTACCTTGCAAATTACTCCCTCCGTTCGGAAATACTTGTCCAAAGAATTGATGTATCTAGATGTATTTTAGTTTTAGATACACCCATTTGTATCCATTTCTATGACAAGTATTTCCGGACGGAGGGAGTATGAGATAAAAGGCATTAGAATTACTCCAAAAAGCATTATTATGCATAAAAACATCATAAATAATAGTAGGAAAACATGATGCAAAATGGACGTATCAGTCGTCATCGCAAACCCATCTTCACCGCCAATTTCATGATGCTCACCGCCAGGAGTGAGTAATTCCTTTGTAGGCTTGCTGGACGATGATGTGTTGGATGAGATTTATCATGTAATTGAATTAGTTTTGTTAGGGCTTGATCCCTAGTGTCCACTATGTTCTGAGATTGATGTTGCTATGACTTTGCTATGCTTAATGCTTGTCACTAGGGTCCAAGTGCCATGATTTCATATGTGAACATATTATGTTTTCATGAATATATGTGTGCTCTTGATCCTATCTTGCAAGTTATATGCACCTATTACGTGTTATGATCTGCATACCCCCAATGTGACAATAATTGGGATCTTTCCGGTGGTTACCGTAGTTTGAGGAGTTCATGTACTCACTAAGTGCTAATGCTTTATTCTGGTTCTATATTGAAAGGATGCTTTAATAACGCTTAGTTTCCTTATGGACCCCGCTGCCACCGGAGGGTAGGACAAAAGATGACATGCAAGTTCTTTTCCATAAGCACGTATGACTATATACAGAATACATGCCTACATTACATTAATGAATTGGAGCTAGTTCTGTGTCGCTCTAGGTTATAACTGTTGCATGATGAATATTATCCAACGCAATTATCTGTCACTGATCCAATGCTTACGCTTTTCATATATTGATCTTGGCTAAGTTACTTTCGTCGTTGCTGCTGTTACAATCACTACAAAATTGCTATTATTTCTATTGCTACTGTTACTGTTACTATACAACTACCTTATTAGTTTGGTATTGATCAGCTTGCTGCAGATATTAAGTCTTTCATGTGTGGTTGAATTGACAACTCAACTGCTAATACTTGCGAATATTCTTTGGCCCCCCTTGTGTCGAATCAACAAATTTGGGTTGAGTACTCTACCCTCGAAAACTGTTGCGATTCTCTATACTTGTGGGTTATCATCTTCCTAGTAGACCGTGTGCAGGTTTGTGGGATGAGAGATTACCTATCTTGGTTGGAGATGATTTTAATATTATTAGGAGGAGAGACGAAAAGAACAACAATAACTTTGATGGCAGATGGTCATTCATGTTTAACACTATCATTGAAAGTGTATACCTGAGAGAGATAGAACTCTTAGGCAGAAAGTTTACTTGGGGAAACACACTGTCGAATCCAGCTTACAGGAAGTTGGATCAAGTTATCACTAGTATTGAATGGGAGCAGATGTTTCCTCTGGTGACAGTCCAAGCCTTACAAAGAGGAATTTCTGACCATACCTCGCTGCTTGTTGACTCTGGGGAAGCAACACATGCGGGAAACAAGAACATCATTTCTTTCGAACTAGCATGGTTTAAGTGAGAGAGCTTCATTGATCTGATTGCTAGAGAATGGGCTAAGGCCTTAGGAGGGAGGTCGAATACTGAGCGATGGCAAAATAATATTAGGTACTTAAGGTAGTTTCTGAGGGGTTATGCTAAAAATGCCAGCGGAATTTATAAGGTGGAAAAGTAAAAGCTTATACATCTCATAAATGAGCTTGATCTTAAGGCTGAATCCATCTTAATGGATGCGGATGAACGAGCATCTAAAACAGAGGTTGAGCAAAGATTGCAACAACTTCTTAGAGAGGAAGAGATGAAATGGGCACTAAGAGCTAAAGTGTGGAAGGTCGTCCAAGGGGACGACAATACCTAGTTCTTCCATATGATTGCAAATAGAAAACATAGAAAGAAGAAAATTTTCTAGCTTGAGCAGGATGAGGGTACAACTATAGGACACAAGAACCTAAAATTGCATATCTCTAATTACTATAAATAACTATTTGGGGCTCCCGATGACAATTTTGTGTCTATGGATGAGCACTTGGTTGGGGATATTCCTCAGCTCGGGACAACCGAGAATGATATTTTATCCACACCATTCACGGAGAAAGAGGTGTTTGAGGCCATATCATAGATGAAAAATAATAAGGCTTGAGGCGCGGATGGCTTCCCAAATAATTTTATAAAAAATGCTGGCACATCATTAAAGGCGACCTTGTGCCGAAGTTCCATGACTTGTTTAGCGGCCATCTGCAGCTATTCCGCCTAAACTTTGCGATGATAACGTTGTTGCCAAAGGAGGAGGCAGTATGTACTGAGCAGTTCTGACTAATCTGTCTGCTCAATGTGAGCTTTAATTTTTTTACTCCCTTAGTCTTTATTTACCCTACATATTATAGTTGGTTGAAGTCAAACTTCATAAAGTTTGACCAAGTTTATAAAAAAAGTACAAACATTTACTATAACAAATCTATATGATGTGAAAGTACGTTCAATAATAAATCTAATGATATTGATTTGTTATTTTATATGTTAATATTTTTGTTTATAAATTTTGTCAAAGTTTACAAAGCTTGACTTTGACTAAAGCTAATACGCGGACTAAATAAAAATGGAGGGAGTACTAAAGTTGGGACAAACCGACTGATGCGGATTGCACATAGTGTGGTGCAACCAACTCAAACGGCTTTTATGCCAGGCAAAAACATACTAGAGGGTGTGGTTGTCCTACATGAAACACTACACGAGATCCACTCGAAGAAACTGAAAGCATATGATAAAGTTAAATGACCGTTTCTCCAGCAGACCTTACGTATGAAGGGTTTTGACGGTTCTTGGAGGAAACAGGTTGATTCATTTGTACAAAAAGACAGTGTCGGGATTAAAGTGAATGATGACATAGGTCACTACTTCCAGACATACAAGGGTCTAAGACAGGGGGACCCGATGTCTCCTATCTTGTTCAACATTGTAGCGGATATGTTGGCAATTCTCATAGGTAGAGCTAAAGAGGAAGGCCAAGTAGGAGGACTAGTACCACATCTAGTAGATGGTGGGGTGTACATACTACAATACGCTGATGATACCATAATTTTCATGGAACATGATTGGGCAAAGGCTAGAAATATGAAGTTTGTGTTATGCCTATTCGAACAATTGTCAGGATTGAAGATTAACTTTAATAAGAGCGAATTGTTTTGTTTTGGGAGAGTCAAAGATGAACTAGATGCTTACAAAGAACTGTTCGGATGCGAACTGGATACCCTACCGTTTAGTTATCTGGGCATACCCATTCATCATCACAAGCTTTCTAATAAGGAGTGAAAGTGTATTGAAGATCGTTTTGAAAAGAAACTAAGCTACTGGAAGGGTAAGTTTATGTCATGTGAAGGTCAGCTAGTAGTAATAAATTCAGTGCTTACGAATATGTCGATGTTCCTTTGTTCCTTCTTTGAAAATGCCTGTAGGGCAACGAAAAAGGTTGGACTTTTATCGAGCACAATTCTATTGGTAGAGTGATGAAATAAGGAGGAAATATGGGCTTACTAAATGGGACATCATTTGTAGGAGTAAAATTCCATGTGTATGTATGCATGGATACGTATGCCTTCTTCTCGTCGAGGATTACAAAATGCCAATTTTTAACCTCACAATAATGCACCAAATTTTTAGAGGTATGACACCATTGGGGTTCCCATGAACGTTGTCACAGTTGTTGGATCCCAATAATAATTTTCTATGCACACTGAAGAGTTTCACTAGTCAATTACTCCGAGTTGAATCGATATATACGTATGATGCTCAGTACGAACTGCATTTCTTTTTGAGACACAAGACGACACGCTAGGAGCCTCTCACACTGCACTCCACCGCACGCGCATACCACACGGTATAGGACGATAATAATAATACTGAAAGATGAGGTGAACTTGACTAGTTATTTCCTCCTTAGGGGAGACAGCAGGAGAGCTACTACTTATATTTTCTTACATTGACTTGCTCAATGCAAGTCGTTCGTCACTGGCGGTACTATACTAGTCTTTTCTTCTGCAGGTACTAGTCGTTCGATATGCAAGTCTTGGTCATTCATATCTTCGCTAACTAACTAAGCCACTAGCTATTCCTGGCTAGAAACAAGTGGAGAATAATGCGCAAAAAAAAAAAACAAGTGGAGAATACACAAGATTCGACACGCTTAAGTGTTTCCATATGCAGTGGCATACGTTCGATCGAGCTTACCAACACGTCATTATTCACACGTCGCTTCAAGATCGTCCGCAGCTTCCCTGAAACTTCCGGCAACCATATCTTCACGCAACGCGCGCGTCGGATGCAAAGCACTTACACCGATGTGACGTGGTGTTCGCTGCGTCACGAGCGGGATATGTACACGATTCCCCGCGCCGGACGAGCACGGAAATTTCGGGGCTGCCACATGTCCGAACACTTGCATTCATAAACCACCTTGACCCTGACCCTCGTCAACGTTATACTCGTGGTAGTATTAGGTTAGTCATAGTGGAAGTAACTTAGCAAGTAACATAGCGCATTTCGAAAAAAAATTACTTATATGGCATGTAGCTAATAAGAAGTGGTAACATAATATATTACTGTAACATAGTGTTTTCCAAGACAAGATGAGTCTACAAGCTAATTAATAAAGTCTTCTATGACACTACTACTATGTTACTTTGCATTATGAAGGTAATAATTTAAACTAGTGTCATATGTATGACACTAATATAAGTTACTCCCTACTATGACCAGCCTTAGCTTAGCTGAAGAATCGGATCGTATCCACCTTAAACCTCCGGCATGAACGCTTCATTCGCGCCTATATATAAGCAATGCATCGGCCTCACACTAAAACATTCCACACTTATATTGTCCATCACTAGCAGAATAGCAAAACGTCTGTAAGCAGCACGTGTACACGTTGATCTAGCTCGCTAGTATAACAATGGACGTGGCCAGTGGTGATGCACGGTCGCCGATCAAGTTGATAGAGCTGCTGCTTAAGCTATCTTCGCCGGCGGCGTCTAGCAGGGTGATCGGCAAGAACAAGCGGGTGCAGCTGCAGGCCGCCGGCGGCGCCTACGAGTGCCGGACGTGCGGCCGCCGGTTCGCCACGTTCCAGTCGCTGGGCGGCCACCGGACCAGCCACAAGCGGCCGCGGGTGCGCGCGCACGGCCTCGATCTCCTGCTCGGCGCGCGCCCAGGCAAGGCCAGGGCCGCGGTGCAGCTGCACCGCTGCGGCACGTGCGGCCAGGCGTTCCCCACGGGGCAGGCGCTCGGCGGGCACATGCGCCGCCACAGGCCGGCCGTGGCCGCCGCGACGTGGACGGAGACGGCCACGTCGTCGTCGACCTCGTGCCTCTCTGTGTCTGGTCAGCATGACGATGCCGATTGGCCTACTTTAATACAGTTTATATGAGGGATTAGTGCTACTGTCTATAAGTTGGCATTGGTTGATTTGTAGTGGTTTGCTTTGCTCTACTCTCGGTGAATGCATGCACTCTACTACACGGTATAAATGTTTATTGTAATACTCGCAAAAAAAATCTATTGCAGTGCCAATACGCGCACATGTGTGATGTAATAATAAATCAAAGAACTCAGTTTGAAATCGCCTACGTCAGGTGATCTATTTCGCTTGGAGATGTGCTTAATAACAAAACAAAAAAGCATTTTCTCCCTTTTTGTGTGAATAGGTGCGCAATTTTCGATCATCCATTTCTAAGCCGAGACTCATCTACACCTGCTCAAGGAAATTTTTATAAAAAAATTCAAAACAATTAAAAAAATCCATCTTTTTACATGATAGGTAATTTGGTGCGTGAGGTGCGCTTCAAATTTCAAAACATTTGGACGTATGAGTAACTCTCAGCAAAAAAGAAAAATTGGGCTCAGAACAGTACATAAACAGTAAAAAAATTACAAACCCCAAATCTGTCTTTTTTGGAGAGCTACTCAGATGTCAAATGATCTGAAATTTTGGAGTGGCTCACACACAAAATTATCTACCATGATTTTTTGTGGATTTTTTTTTAAAAATCTACTATTTGTTTTGATTTTTTTTCCCATCGTGGATGCAGATGAGCCAGGGCACGCATATTGTGGCTCACAAATTACTGAAAAACTTCATATTGGTATCACCCACATTTGACTTTGCCTGGACACGCATAAAATATTTGCAGCCAAGGCGTGTCTAGCTCTAGCTAATACTGCTAAACAATTCCACAGTGTTGTCGCAGATGAAATTGATAAGCAAACCATTCCAAAATATGCCATAAAGTACTTTGCTACAAAACATTACCGTTAATATAGCTTGCACTCATACAGTTTTAATGAAAAATCATCGCTGCTTTGGATGACACTCAAATTTACTTGATAGCTACTCCATATGTCCGGTAAAAAGTGTATATATAGAAATTTTAGGACAAATTATGCAGTGAAGTAAAAATGCATTGGAAAGATGCAAGCCACCATCTTTCTTTTTATTATCATCGAACCCTCAATGAGCTAAGTGCATGTAAAAATTAAGAAGACCATGTGTAAAATAGTACTGGTTTTGATTATTATGTGATGAGAGAAGCATTGTTTTCTATTTTAAAGTGCATTATGAAGATAGGAGTACACTCTTTTATGGATAAATTTTAAATCCAAACGTACACTCTTTATCAAATGGAGGGAGTACAAAGATGTAGACATACTTACACATCTAGAATCAACTCTTGTTGTATTATAAAAAAAGGGATCAAGGTCGCCGAAAATACATACCAAAGTATCAAATCCAGCCCTTTGCTCGTCATAACTCATGCGTTGGTCGAAGTTTAGGTAGGCATCAGATCGATTGGAACTACCTATCATGGCGACACGATAGCCGATGGTTTGTACACGTAATGGTGACCCGATCTTTCATGACAACGCATGGTTTGCAAAATTTTCCCTTGTCCTCCTTGCAGCCTCTAATCTCAGTTTCTATGTGCTGCACGATCAGTACACTAACAAAGATAATGACCTTCTTAGATTAGCACGTAGGTATCTACTAAGAAACATGCCCGTGTGTTGTAATGGGAGAAAAAAACAACATCACAGCTCATCACCCCACATACAATCTACTTCATCCACTTGAACATGGTACCCCATTTGTCTCGTAGGGATCCTCCTTTCCGCCATCACCGACGTAGGTCGTAAACCTTGTCACAATGTGTCTGAGCGCGGTCAAGGCGATGAACTTGGCCATAACACTGTCATTGAACCACACCGGCACAATAGAACGTTTATAACTTAAAAAAAAACTAATCTTATTGAGCTATACCGTGAGGGCTGCCTGCCTTCCAAGAATTGCTTCCTGATGTTCGTGCATGGTAAAATTTGTATAAGATCAACCTTCAAATTTTGAGTACAGTAGATGAACAAAATGATGAAACGTAATTATTAGCAACAGAAATCTGATAACAAGTCACCTAATGATATACACATTTCCATCTGGAAATCTTCATTACATATTACTTCAAAAATAATATCATCTGCCCATTAAGAACGAACTGAGATTTATCGAGAAACCACTCAGCAGTAGGGTAATACAATTTGTTCACATTGACAACACAATTTGTTCACATTGACAACGTATTCTTCTATTTCCTCTTGAGAATTAAGAAAGATACTAATCCAAAACTTATTCTTTTACATCCACATCATACATCTATGTAGGCAGATCAAGCCAGTGGGAGTGATACAAATCAAAAAGCGGCTAATCAATCAGTGTGTCTACCTCTCGCCAAAGTATGGCTCATGTGTGCTCTCCTAAACAACCTCACCCTTCTTGGATAGGACATCGAGTTCATGATCAATTCCTACGATATCCTACGAACTTCAAGACAAACCCAAAAAACTGCATACATGTTTCTTTCATGGAATAAACAACAGATGCGATCACAAGGAGATGCGCTACTAAACTGAACCGGTAAACAAAGTCGATTTGAGCTCGTGCATTGCGATGGGAGAAAATGACAGTATGCAGAACCAACTCCGTCGTAGGGTTGAGTGCTCGGGGTGCAGAACCAATATGGTTGAATGGCACCAGAGCAGAGCTAGTTGAGACCAGTGCGTCAGTGTCTTTACATTTTCCTGATAGTATATTTGAATTATCAATAGTAACTTATTGGTATTTCTGGTGCAAGCAATAAATAAGTAGTTGCAAGGATACCAAATACATACATTAATCCACTACTCAATACATACTGGATCATAGTGCTAAAGTATGTTTTTACTTAAAGAGTTTACATCTTTGTTAGATGATATGATATAAAGCAAAACACGTGTTCTCAGGCAAGAGCATAGAGCATTTGTATTGGTGTGCATATGACACAATTACACGGCAAGGCAACAGACTTTAGCATTAGTAGTGGTGTGGATACTACACAATCACAAAATGTAGTACACAAGTGTATGTTTACTGATGGAATGCCAAACATATGCATCTCCATCAGGCATTTGTGCTAGTAAAGAGAGAGAAAGGGAAACTGAATTAGTTTACCCAACATTTAAACATAGAAAATAAGAAGGAAAACTGAGGCACAGGTAAAAAAAGAGAGGAAAAACCGAGACACCAGTCACCACCTCATTGATGAGGTTAATTATATTTGAGACACCACTATGTCCATCACACCTCCAGAATCTGCGAGAGGACCCTCGTGCAGAAGCAAGGGGATCAAGCTCATCGGAGAAAATTACTCATGGGCGTGCTGATCTAACCTGAAATTGACAGTGAAAACTGAAAAGCTGAGTAATATGTGCATATTTGATGGCAATTACATGGCTTGTGGAGATGGATATACCTTCTCAAAGATGTCCCTGATATTCTTCTCTGATTCTCCAACATACATGTTTATCAGTTCTGGACCTTTTACGCTAAGAAAGTTTAATGAGCACTCGGTTGCTACGGCTTTCGCATGTAATGTCCAAAAATTCAAAGCAAAACATCCCAGTGAGCATGTATTATGTTGTTGTTGGATACAACTAACTTTTGAAAAAAATAGGAATGAAATCTCAATTCAGACAAAGTATAAAACAAGAAGAAGTAATGTCTATAGAACCTCGGAACCTTTTCACAAATTAGGCGCCAGAACTAACTCCTACGTGTAGCTATGATCCAGAGCACCAGATCAATCAATCTTTGAATATGACAGTGTCTGCGATGGCCATGAGCGGGCCAAGGCAGTCAGGCGCAAACATGTGCTCATAGGTGCAGCTCAGCGATGAGCCGTAGCGACACCTCTGACGCGGCATACATGTGCGGACCGTTGTCGCGCGTGAGCATGTACCGCGTGCAGCCGGCAGGTTCAGCCATATTGAGCATCGTCGGTAAATATTACTCCTGCAGGTAGCTAATATCGAATATAAGAATCTGAATCCAAGAAAGGCACACCAATATAGCTCTTTCACCATGGGCACTAATAAGAAGCTATTGTTAGTGTCTCCAAGAAACAAAAATAATTCACCATAGTACAGAATTCTCAAATCCAATGATGCATGAAGCTCGCTGCCTAGTAATGCTCATTTTCACTGAAGTTTGATGCTACCCTGAATATATCTACAACGGTGAGCACTGCACTTTGTTTGCCGGTCCTGCTGCAATCAAATTTGTCAACATCCATTACCCAGTCCGATCCATAAAGACTCTAACTTTCTCAAGGGGATTACAATTTATGGGCCAAATAGTTTCAGATTTAGGAAGAAACTCATAGTACGTGTTGCCGTCAAGCCGGTTGACTTAAAGTTCCTGCACCAAGAAACAATTATCAATTCACGATTTAACTAATCCAGACCAAAACAGATCAAATGAGCTCGCCTAATTATGATACACAATCCTAATCCCCTCTGCAAGTAGGCAGCAACTTTCTCTGCCTACAACCGCCCGCTTCCTATGCCAATAGAACGCGCACGTCAAGCCACCCACGTCACATGCACGTCCAGCCGGCTGGAGTATAGTACGGATAACACATATGCGAGGGGGCTGAAGATCCACCCGTGGCAGAGCAAGATGAAGGTGAAATCGATCCCAGAGGAGGAAGAGCTAGCTTTCGTCGGCAACCAAGATGACTATGATGCAGAGGATGTCAAGTCGGGCAGCATGGAGCTGGAGACATGGTGGAGGCGGCCGATGGCAGAGAGCAAAGACCTGTACGCGGCCGACGGGCGATAGTAGAGTTGGATGCAGCCGCTGACATGATGCCGCCGTACAGGGATGGCCGAACGCCAAGGGACGCCTTGCTGGCCGCCATGGTGGGCAAGGCGGTGGCGGAGAGTGTCGAGCTGGTGGATCCGAAGGGAGGACGGATCTGGCAGCCGCCGGGTGCTACCGACTGGATGCATCGGAGAGAGAGGAGGGGATCGAGATTTTTTTTACGCAGTGTGGGCTTCGTCCTC